GGGGGGGGGGGGGGGGAAGGTGCGGCCAATGTTCTGGTCTCCAGGGACCAAAACCTTCCAGGCAGAAACACACCCATGGTGTCAAACAAAACAACATCCCGCGCGTCAAGACCCCTCCCAATGACAAACCCAGCACCAAAAGTAAAAGGAAAAAAGCATCCATGCATACAATATGTTTCTAATTAAGTTTGGGCACCTTCACATGACCCGCTGGCACTGACGTTTTTCATTGGTCAGCGGGAAGCGCGGTCATTGCTACTATGTACGAACATCACACCCATCCCATCGAAATGAATCTGTCGTGCTGGTAACAAACAGGACCCCAAACACACACAGCCGGTTAGCGCGGTCGATGATTCAAACGACACACAACAGACCAAAAGCCACAAGAGAGACACGGGGCGGTCGGCACCTTGGGGTCGTAGAATTGGTTGCTGGTGAGGAAGGTGACCGGGTCCTTGTTGAGAGTCACGTAGATCTTCCCGACGGCGTTGTGGGTAGCCGTCTCTGTGTTCCCCGTGGACACCATGGCCTCGAGCCAGGGCTGGAGGAGGCGGAGGCGGTTGCGCCTCTCCGCCTGCGTAGAAACGTATTTCATGCATGCGTTCGTCGATTCTAGTCAGTCTGCGGTTTCAGACATGGTAAGAAACAAAAGAGAGCAGTTGGAACCGTGTTCCCGGCACGAGCAACAAGTCAGTACAGTAGCGGGTAACGCAAGACACCACTCTCCCTGGACAGACCTTCGACGCTCGACTACTCCACAACAGAAAATGTGGCGGCGACGAAAACGGTAGCGTTGCAACCGTCTCGCCGAGAGCTTCCCGACAACAGATCATTCGACCTTCCCGTTCTCTTGTCGAGAAGTTGTTGTCAAGAGGTAGGAAATAGTTCGAGGGTGTGTGTGGTATCTTCCGTAATATTTTTACCTGCTCGACCAGCTCGTCGACGGGGCACTGGTGGCCGACCGAGTTGAGCAGCTGTCGGATGAAGTCCTCGGGGGCATCCAGGTCCAGCAGCTTGCCCACGACCATGGGGGTCTTCTGTGGGGACACCTTTTGCACGTACACCTGAGAATCACCACGCGAGACCAACACCAAAATCAGGCATTGCAACTCGGAGCGACATTTTGAGTTTCGACAAAATGGACATCAACAGCAGCAACTAGAAGGGAAGCACCTAACCAAGCATGTATGTATGCTTGTGAGTTTATATTTACGGTAACTGTGTTCTGTTCACCGTTTGGCGTTCGGGAAAGCGCGGGAACACAACAGCAATGGTGAAAAGAAGTCACATACACTAAAAACGGGGGGTCCATGACAGAATCAAGCACAACAACTATCAACGACAACAGCGTAAGATAGTATCCACCCATACCTCGATGTACTTCTGCATGTTGTTGTTGTACAGGTACCCGGTCATCTCTTCGATAAAGTCGTGACGGTCGCACACGTGGATCAGGGGACGCGGGTCTGGCAGCTTGGCGTCCATCAGGAACTTCTTCACCTGTCATCGGCGATAGTATACAACCAAAGAACACGGAAAAAATAAAAAGTCAAAACCAAGCAAGAAACAAGAAACAAGGAAGCCGTTTCGCCGGTCGGGCACTTTAGGGTCCATCAGGGACTTCTTCACCTGTCGGCCATATAGTGTACATAAAAGCAAAGAACACGGGAAAAAAAGTTAAACTAAGCAAGACACAAGGAAGCCATCTCGCTGGTCGGGCAGTTTGGGGTCCACAATGAGCTTCTCAACCTGAATGCGGTACAAGGCAACAAAACAATAGCCAAACAAAGCAAGAAACAAGGAAGCCTATCTCGCTGGATGGGCGGTTTAGGGTCCATGAGGAGTTTCTTATCCTGTGTGCGGTCGTTGTTGTTGTCGTCTTGGCATGAGAAACCGTTCCGGTGTCCGCTCAGTACCTTCTAGTGTCCGCACAGGTCCAGCTGTCTACGGCACAAGCCACAAAATATAACACTCGTAGAATAATATTTTGTTGTTGCAGGCTACAACTCAAAAGTATATACAAAAAGTCAAACCTATAGAAACCACAAGATAAAATAGCCACTAATTCTTCTTGGTGTGGCACGCGCGACAACACAGCGTGCGACGACTACATATTTCCGCCGCATTTGCTGTGTTGTTTCTGCCTATTCACCTTCTCCGGTTCGTAGACAGTAGAGTCGCGGCACACCCTCTCCACCTCCTTGAACTGCTGCATCTTGGCAGCGGCCTGGATGTACCGGAAGTGCACGTTCGGCTCCGTGGAGTTGTTCACGATCGCTCCCAGGTAGTAGAAGAGGCCCTCGTACAGCTTGAAGCTCTCGAACATCTCCATCAGAGATTCAGCCCCGATCTGGTCGGAGTACGCCGTGGCGATCTGTTTGTACGCAACGCGGGCAGGGGGGGGGGCGGCGGCGGTGGGATTGAATGTGTATGAACCGAAACTAGAGCATTGCAAAAAAAAAGAACATTGCAGGACGACGCGCAAGGTTGCAGCACAACAAAGGGGCCGTGGAATTAACGGAATCAAGCAAATAATCATCACAAGAAAAGCGAACACATCTAGCTGTTCCAGGCATCAACGCATTGAAAAAAGGAAGACCAAAATCCAAAACCTCAACAAAAACAAGGCTGCGGAATCCACAGAACCACGCACAATTACACTACATAACTTGCACCAGAAAAACGTACACAGCTGTTCCGGGCTGTGAAGCAATGATCAACAATTCCAAAAAAACACAAGACGTGTTTGGTGGCTGATGGTATCCCATAAGCAGTCAGCGGAAATGACGAAACCTAGCGCAGGTGGTATCCAAAGGATTGAAAGAGGTTGTCAACCGGTGAGGCAGCGTCATCTGTGGAGGCGCTACAAATCCTGGTGCCTTCGAACCCAGCAGAAGAAGGCCCGTGCACCCAACACAAAATGGTCTTCGACTGCCTAACGTGGATACATCTCAAACGGGTAGTCTCTCTCTTTGATTGGACGCATGTTTTCTAACATGGCAGCCCGTGGACGAAAGAGATTTGTCGTGTTTTTTGAAACATGACTCCACATGTTCTACACCAACAGGTGATCGTATGAACGTTCGACAGGCGACAAACGACAGGCGACAGGCGGGAGGGCACAACGCACCTGGACCACCATCTGCAGGTTCTGGCGCATGTTCTTGCCGAGCATCTCCTTCATGACGTCAATCGACGTCTCCCTCGAGAGAGTGCCGAAGTAGCTCACGATGAACTCAGAGTTCATCGCCGGGGCATAGGACATGAGCCGCTTGATGTCGGCGGGGGTGCTGTTGGTCACGATTCCATCATCCATTGTTGTTGTGCCACGACGATTACGAACCAAAACAAAACAGAGATTTGAGGCGGAACAAGGGAAAAACGGTCCCCGCGTGTCAACCAAAAATTGGCGATTTCACGGAGCCCCTGAGCCGGGAGGGGCACAAGGACGATGACGACCACGTACCCAGGCATGGAGGTCAGCCAGCAAAACATCAGACTATGGAATCACCGCCCACAACATCTTGACCGTGTCAGCAAGGGCAACACCGTGTATTTCTGGCTGGATTGAGCCCAGACGCCGTGATACATACGCTGTGAGTCAAGCTCGGCCGCAAAAAAAAAAACATGGCAACGCCGACAGCCTTGACTGCTGTCCAATGTCTTGCTATGCTCCCACCCGCAGTGGTATGTTACTCCCTTTCGTGTCATGTTACTGCCTGCAGTATTATGATACTACACAATACAGTACCTGTAGTGCTCAAGGGCCCTCTGGTACAGGCCGGCGTTCTCGCACAGCTTGGCCACGTGGGTACGGTCGTAGTGAGTGAACATGTCGTTGTCGAGGATAGCGTCGGCCACCTGCAGCGGTACGGTTAGCCAAAACCCACAACAAAAAAACGGGGGCAAGGGTGGCGGCCTCATGGTTGTCAGCAAGGATCAACGCTGACATTGCCGCTTCTCGTCTTCATGACAGGGCGTGTTTCTAAGTCTGCGGTACCAAAAATCGGAGGCAGCGTCCACATTCGGTTTCGCTGGAAACACCATGCCTCATCGGCATGGCAGCCTCGTCTTCATCAGGGTCGTGTTTATTTTCCGAGGCGAAAAGGGGGGGTCCGAGCAGGTGAGCGGGATAACATACCGCCCATCCCGGATGTCATAAGACCTGCTGCCGCAAGCCGCACACAGTTCGGTTCGATACACCAAAATCTGCTATTATATATGATCACGGAGGGAGTGAGGTCCAGAGGTCCGGTTGAAAGGTTGAGACAGCGGGCCTTGGCCGGCGGGCTGATGCCGACTCGCAGGCGAGATACAACAAAAAACGCGACGAAACAATACGTCTGTGACCTGCGTTACGCAGCCTAGGATGCCTCCCCTACGTCACCACCAAAAACACGACGAGCCAACACCATTCACAGGCCACGCAAGGGCAAAAAAGACATACCCCCCTCGTCTGCCCACCTGCGGGGAACCCCCGAGGAGGTTGATCTCCAACAGCTTCGTCTGCAGGTAACCCTCCTCCTTCTTGTTGTTCTTGAGGGCCTCCAGCAGGAAGGCGGTCGTCTCCTGCACCAGGCTGGCCGACATGAACGTCTCCACCACCGTATTGGGGTCGATCTGCGGGGGCTCCGTGGTCGCGGCCTTCTTGGCGAAGGCTAGGGCCCCCTGGGGGTTCGTTCGCACCATGTTCTGGAGCATGACGGTGTAGTCGCACCGGTAGCCGACCTTGGAGGCGTAGGCCACCATCTTGTCGAACTCCCCCCTCTGGGAGAAGGAGTTCACGACCTTCTCAGCGGCGTTGGCGCGCAGGTATACGGAGAGGGCCATATTGGCGTCCACCTGGGAGATGAGGTCTCCGAGCTCCTCGGAGCACTCCAGCTTGTCCTGCAGAGATAGAGATAGAGGACGAGAGAGATAGATAGGTAGAGAGAGTGAGGGAGACAGACATATGGACAGAGACACAAAAGAGAGAAAGAAAGAGTGAGAGAAGTGTGTGTGTGAGAGAAACAAAGAAAACCACGACAGCACCTGGTTCAACAAAAAAACACATGGTACACCACAGAACATGGCAACACCCTCGACCTCCCATCGCATGAAAAAAAAAAAAACACAACCACTAAAAAAAAAACACACACACACACAAACCTCGGTCAGCCACTTCTCGAGCATGTCAGTGCGGCCCTGGGTAAGCACGGGGCGGGTGAGCTCGATGCTCTCCATGCCGTTGAGCTTGCCGCGCTCCAGCAGCACGGAGAAGTACTGGAACACCGGCGGCGGTGACCCGGGCACAGCGGGAATCTGCTGAAACCGCTGGATCGTAGCGGCGGTCCGCAGCAGACCTACAAACAACGTTTTTTCCCGACATGGGTGCACACGAAGAGGAGATGAAGGGGGGGGGGGGGGGGGGGGNGGGGGGGGGGGGGGGGGGGGGGGGGGGGGGGGGGGGGGGGGGGGGGGGGGTGAGACAACAAGATAACTGAAAAAAAGAAGAAGCAAAATCACATGTAGTTGTATGCAGACCACATCTGAAAAAACATGTGCTGCTGTATACATGCAGAAGGTCGCTGATTCGAAAGGCCCCAAAACAAACCATGTGTAACAACAGCTGTCCAAGAAAAAATCACCCCGACACCCACGCACTCAAATTGCCCCGCTCCCTACTCTTCCCGTGACAACACGCACACCGGCCGACACCAAAACAACACACACACACGAACACACGGATTCGACGCCGCCGTCGCGCACCGTTGGGAGACTCCCCCGCAAGCCTGGCCGCAGCGGCCACGTCGTTCGACGCCAGCATGCGGTTAAACTCCGACATGTACAAGTCGTCAGCGCCGGGCAGGTTAAGGCGGGCGGCGAGCTGGATGGCGAGGGCCGAGTCCCGGAGGGTGTTGACCACGTAGGGCACCAGGGTGGCCTCGTTGACCGAGATCTGGAGGACGGCTCCGGTGCGGGCGGTGATGCCGACGATGCCTCCGGTCGCGTCCTGGGGCGAAAAGTGGCGTGGGTTCGGGGTGGGTTCGGGCGGCACAAGAGGTTGGTAATGAGGCGGAAAAAGAGTGCTTTTGCAGCCGCGGTGGGGGTGGGCGGTACAAGAGGTTGGCAACGGCATGCACGGAACCGCTTCTTTAACAGCCCGTTGTCGAAACACGCTTGTGCAGGGTAGGACAAATCAACTTGAAGATTGACTACGGAATAGGCGCGAACGCGCAGATTTGCAATCCATTCTTGCTCCACTACCAAAGAGAGTGGCGGACAATATCGAAACCGGACCGGCTTACAACACGTGCAAGGAGAAGACGGCTCTCCAAGCGACAGATATGTTCACAACCACCCACCCTTTTGGGCATTGGCAGCCTGTTGGGGTGTTGACAAATCGACCATTGAGCGTCGATCGATTGCACATCTATGCGTTCGCCCGCACCTCACGGGTTTATTCATTGACGTGATATCCTCCCCCAGAAATAACACCGAGGGCCGGAACACGAACCAACTGATGCGAAAGCACGAGCCAGCGTGCGGCTCCTCAACTTTGCATCCCTACAAATGTTAGTCAAATACACTATCACAAACCGAGCAGACTCAAAACACCAGGGTGCTGCACTGAAGATTTAGGATCTGTACCTGGGTAGTGGTGACAAAGATAGTCTGCTCGCTGATCTTGGCGCGGTACAGGGCCTTCCCGCAGTGGATGTCGAACATGAACAGGTACCCCATCTTGGTGATCATGAAGATGATGTCGTGCTTGGGGCTCACCTACGCATAGATTAGTCCGAGAACAAGCGAAATGGCACAGAGAAAAAAAAAATCGGCTAGGAGAAAAAGAGAAAAAAAAAGGCCTAGGGCTATCGTGAGGATGATGTGCTCAAGCAACAACGGAGAGGATCCAAAAAAGAGTACACGACAGATATGATATAAGTTAAGGAAAAACAGTCCATTCGAGATCACATTCACAACGGCTACATCTCCCAAACGTGCGTCGCGGACGATTCCCTTTGTTCACGGTCCAACCTACACGTCAATGCCCACACCCGCCACATCGCGCAAGGCCTTCGTATGATTTTTTCGGAACGTCAACTCCTATAATCCACCTGCCTATAACTTCTAACGCCATCTCCGACACAAGCGTGCCTGTTTACATCATGCCCAGCGGTACATGTATTACCTGCATCGCCACCGGGAAGTCGTTGGGCGCGTCCGCGGCGTTGGGGATCTGCTGGGGGGACAACCGGAACACGCCCCCCGGCGCGTCCTTGTCCCTGCCGACCTCCATCACGTACAGCTTGGCGGGGGAGTCAACCTTCTTCTCCTCGAAGCATAGCACCTGTTCATGTTCACACCAAGCCAAGGGTGGCGTGCGACAAACATCTAGTGTTGTCGTTTGAACTTGGAACTTCTGTTGCGTCATGCATCTGGTACGGGACGGTTTGACCCAGAGTTGGCCTGTGACCACACCATGCATCTCAATGCGGTGTGGAAGCAATTGGCTCGTACAACACAAAAGTTGACCTGTGACCACACTGCCCATCTAGGACGTGGTGTGGAAGCAATCGACTCTTGACAAAGTTGGCCAGTCACCACGGTAGGCGTCCTCGTCAGTTGGACCGGTACCAATGTCACTATCATATTGCACTTATTGTACTGAGCAGGAATCGGAACGGTTCTTAATGTCGAGACCACAACAACGACAATCACCAACCACAAGCCTATCATGCGTGTCTCACAAGGTCAAGGACTCTACACCGCCAGCTTAAGCCGAACCAAGGGCAAAACCTCCCACTACACGCAGCCGAAGCCAGCTGCCTCGGGGCCACGCACACAAAGACACTTTTTCCGACACGGACAACCACCCAGCCTGTGATGATACCACTACTGCTCTTCATGCCGCAGCGAGAGAACCAACGTAGCCCAACACATGACATCGCCAACTTGTCGTCGACGTTCATCGAAGACAGAAGACTCTTCGTGTGCCATGTTCCCAACATCGGCTTTAGACCGCGGATCAAGGCTGGCCATCCCTGACAGCAGTCAGCCGTCTACCAACAATGAACAACACCTCATGGTCCCGACAAGCCGAACCAACGCATCTACGCACATCCAACACCACCATAAAAAACTAGCTCTGACGAACACCATCGAGCAAGAAATGCCAACAAAGAAGGTCAAACCAGCGTTTGACAACCGTACACAGTTGAGCAGTGGCAACGGACGGACGGCAGGGTGGGGTACCTGCGCCTCTTCCACACGGCCGGGGACCTTGATCTTGGCGAAGGTTCCCGTGTGCCCGTTCAGTATCTGCGACACGCGCTTGTCCACGCTGCCCACGCACGCACGCAAAAAACAAAGCCGCGAGGGCCAACGGGCAGGAGGAAGGGCACCACCCAACGACACACAGCAAAGCAAAAAGACGACAACCATCAGCCACGGCAAAGGTGAACCGCAGATTGCACAAAGCACGATTAGATCGGAAGGAACACAAAAACACAAGCGGCAGTGAGCGTTGGCTCTACCAAGAGGGTGGAGCGGACGCGGGGTTTGACATCACACGTCGAACAACCGTCAAGACACGCACACGTCACGACGAAGCTTGGACAAGCAGGGTCAGGAGCAGGTCAGGAGCAGGAGACACCACCACACATGGAACACGTGCGCACAGCAGTGCCCTGAGCGCACGCCTGGGGTGGGTTTCTCGAGAGACCCACGGCACGGTCGATCCATGTGGCACGATCATCGACTTTCGCTACACAACACAAGACACTTATCAACACAAGCACCAGTCCCCTCTGGGAGAGGAAGCCGGAAGAGCAGAGGTCGCCAAGGAGCACATCGACGAGGGCGCTAAACCCGTCAATTAACACAACGTCACAATCATCCCACGGTTGTGCGGTACGCACACCGTAGAGGTCCGGGTATTCCGCAAAAACGCGCCCGAGGCACTGCTCGCAGGGCTCACAAGAGGGTCAATCACGCGAAAGAACAGAGGGGTGATTGCCAAAGGCCACGCAACAGAAGGAAAACGATAAAGAGCAGAGTAGTGTAACCCCCAATAACGGAAGGTTGAATACATGCGTGCCGATTGTCCTGACGAGCGCCGGACACAGGAGCCACGCTTAGAACCACCAAACTCGATCGATCTACACGACACATACGGGTGTGTCGCTCCACGGCATTTTTCACGTCATACGAATCATCGTGCTTTACTATTTTCGGTTGAGACAACCCCAGCGTTCAAAAACTGCCCAACAGCATCGCAGGATTTCGGTCAACGTACCTGTAGAGCTGCATGGTTCCGGCGATAACTCCAGGAGAAGCCTGGTAGATCCCCACGGCAAGGCACCACTTTCCATCCGCGCTCACGTTGTAGCCGATCACCTGCCGAGAAACCGACACCGATACGATATCCGTAAAAAGACACGTATCCGTCACTAGCAGCGCTTAGAGTGCCGTCTTTTCATTGGCTAGCCGGTCGGCGCGGTCAACGCTCATTCAAAAACCACATACTTACGGGGTCCCAGATCATGGTAGCCTCGATAAGCGTTGTGTGTTGCAACCGCTCGGAGACTAACGTATTTTCATTCGTCAGCCGGTGAGCGCTGTCGAAGCAAAAAAAAAAAAGCCTAACACAAACACACACAACGTCAACTCCCCCATGACGCTCGGTCACAGGGTCTCAGATCGTGGCCTGTAGAAGCATATTTTTTGTTTCAACCGCACCGAGACTGACGTATCTTCATTGGGCAGCCGACTTAGCTCGGTCGATCCTAACTAGACACCCACAAACACACAGCGAGGGGCTACCATACATATCCCCCCCCCAAAAAATAGAGCCGCACTGCTGCTGCCGGTAAAACACCCAAATCCCCAACATCAAGTGCTGCGATGTTGCTGTCATTCGAAAGTTCGTAACGCAAAAAAGGAAGCATTTCGCACAAGCCCCAGACCTAATCTACGCCGCAACGGCTCTCACCGCTTTGGGTAAATGTGGTGCCAACGACGTCCTCGGTCCTCATGTGTAACACGCAAGCTTCTCCAAAGATTTACACACCCCCTTGTTCCGACCGCTATCCTACAAGCGGCGACAACTCATGTCTTCCTGCGGACTCATGAGTACATGATCTAAAAATGAACCACAAACACGAACCTGGCACCCCTCCAGCTTGGCGTCGCGGTTGAAGATCTTCTGCGGGCCAGAGTCACCCCCCATGGACCAGTGGAACACCGCCGAGGCGGTCACGAGCGCGATCGTCGTCGCGTCGAACCACTTCCAGAACACGATCGGCTCCGAGATCGTGTGGCTCTTCAGCCTGCTCTTCGCCTCCAGGTTAAAGATCTGGAGCTGGCCTTGGGCTGTATTATTTTTAGTTTGGACGGAGGAGGTATGGGTTGTGTTTGGTTGGACAGCGGAAACGAGGGAGGTTTGGGTTGTGCTTTGTTGGACAGAGAGGGGCAAGGTTGGGTTGTATGGTGTTGGGATTGGACAAGAGAGAAGGGGACGGGGGTTTGAGTTGTTTATAGTCCGATAGAGAGGGGCGAGGGGCGGGTACGAAGGCGGCTCGACCAGTAATTGGCCACCGATACATACAAAGAACCAGCTTCCTGCTCGATCAAACAACAGTAACCGCCGTGGATGCGGACCTTACAATTCTGCCGCCGCTGGAAGAGCAAGGGACCACAGCAGTTGACCCCGCAAGTCTGTCCGTCTCTCGAACCCCTTCGCGCGAAGGGTTCACGATAGCAGTCTCGGCGGAGATGGAGATGGGCTAACCCCCCAAACTCCACCGATTCCATACTTGTCCAACATATTTGCGAAAAAACATACTGCGCATGGAGAGGAACCGTACCCTTCTTCTGTGCTTCATGCCACGGATTCGAGCTCCTACCAGGCGGACGTGCTACATGTGATGGCTGACTTAAAGTGGTGAAAAACAACCACATGCTACTGCTGTTTCGGTCTCTCTCACCCCTTAGCGCCACGATCTTCTGGGTGGGGTTCATGATAGCAGCCTCGGCGGAGATGGGCCACCGTTTCACTGCATTGCCCGCGGTCATGTCCACGATCACCAGCTCTCCCCCCTGGCAGACACATATGTACTTGTCACTCTGGAGGGAGCACGTCCCGAACTTGATCGACTCCGGCGCCACTCCGGCAGTTTGCACCAGCTGTGTGAGTTGGCACCAAAAACAATGAGGGGCGTAAGTACTTGATACCACTTGCGTGCGTTGTGCTGAAGAAAGGGGAGGGTTTTCGAGAGTTCAATTCGTGCGAAACCAGCGGAGCGCTACGTGACTGTTGTTGTGTTCCCTGCATTCGTTTCTTTCTTACAGTCGTGGGCCCCACGAGAAGAGGGTGGCGTGACAAAGGCCCCTGATTCTCTCACATCGGAGCCTCCTCTTGAAAGGAGCCCTCACATGCATATATCAGAGCCCTCCTTGTAAGGGACAACAAATAGCATGGTTTTTGTGTTGTCGTTCATCGATTTCTTAGCCTCGGCAGGGAACGGGGTGCGCCTAGCTAGCCTGCGGCAACGGAGACAACCTACGGTAGAAATTCGATTCCAGATGGTGCGTGATTTCCCAGGAACAATCTCAGCGGCTGCTGCTGCTGCTGTTGTTTTTGCTAAAATCGTCAATTGGGTAACCCTTTGTGAGGTTTCTCCGATTCCTCCTCCCCTCATCAAGGCGCATAGAATCAACGTCGTGGTCACGTTACGCTGGGAATTTCTCGCCATACACCTCCGTCACTGGGACGAAAACAGCGGTGAGAGAGTAAACAAAAGGTGGGCGTGGATTACAATCGGCCGGTGCAGCAGTGTTCTAATTAACACTCCAAACTATTCTGTGTCGACAATCGGGACGATTGCATGTTTCAAAGAAGCACGCGTTGTTTCGGGCAATAGGTGAAGGGTAATAGGCCAACTGCGCGCCACGGTGATTGGTCGATTGCGCGCTACCCTGTAAGCCCAAGACAAACAAAAGAGCCAGCGACGGGAACGGGCCAAGAAGGATGTACATGCACACGAAAGCAATCAGGAGAGGGAGGCTGAGCGACAACAGAAAAACGCAGAGCCACGGAACAAATTGAGGCCTGCGCTTGATTTTGTGGATCTCTTGTGTCGCAGGATTGTTGCTCTCAAGTGATGGCAGTCGTATCCATGTTTGTTTTCTCTTCCTCGACTCTGTGTGGGCAACGGTATGCCAACTAGTGATCACGACAGCAGCAGCGTCGTTCGCCTGCACTTCAAAGCCTTTGCTGTCAGGGAACCGCTGTAGCCCCCTCGACAGCCCTGAATCGTTCTTGCAAAGTCTGCGAGAGGCTCTGTGTGCAACAATGCCACACGGCGCTCGAATTCTCCACATCATTTCACGGTCCTATGCACACAGTCGCTTGTTGCATGCTAGGCTCCAGACAGCGGAGCAATGGGTAGCGTATTAGTCCGCACAGCCGACCCCCGCTGCTCTACACCCTGAACAGACAGCTACGGCCCATGAGTCGCCCACACGCGACGATTGACAACGATGAAATGCTGCTGTGGTGTGCCAGCTGCGCCAGTCACGCCAACCCCTTTCCACACGTGTGTCTTGATGAGTGGGTATCGCAGCAGCGTCACGTGTAAGTGGAGCATTGCACGTTGCGTCCCGACGGCTGTGACAGGCTTGACAGCAGCATACTGCTGCCGTGCATACGTGCACACACCTCTCAGACTACATGCCAACCCGGATGCAAACATGACTGCTGTTGTTGCGTCAGTGAAGCGGATAACAAGCTAGCCACTAGCCAGGTAAGACGGGCACGAATAGAAACGTAGACAGCAGCCATGTGTGCAGGCAGCTCACTATTCCTGATGAATGCAGCGTCTCGTGTAGGACGGCAGTACTCCCCAACCTACTAGTCTATGCATTTGTACAACAGAGGACACATCTTTCCGCGTGACAAAGCGAACCACCAGCGAAAACAATGGCTTAATTATGAATACATCGCCGAACAGCAGGACTCAAACATGGCCGTCAGACAGAAGGGTGTACAACGGGTGCCCTCCCAGGGAGCGAAAGAAACATGGGTTCAAATTACGAAGGCGGGCAATCAGATATCGAGAGGAAAGACAGCGTTGAAGAGAGAAAGAAAAGTTGGGACACCGAATTCTAAGGCGTGTGTTCTGTCTGCTGCTGCCAAGACAGCAGGTACATCGGTCGTTAAGGAAGTGACACCGCATTTTCCTCTCTTGTGCGGAAGCGCGGCAATCTGCGGTACTACTCGATCGGGAGGCACACACGGTCAACGCACCGACCTCGGATGACAGGATCGAGCTTCAGGTGCGTAAAACCATCACATCGAATGTACCCACAGCACTGGTAGCTTATGTACGCATTGGGGGTCTCGAAGGGAAGAGTACTGCTGTGCCTTGGGAGCAAGAGGCGAAGAGTCGTTGCGCAAAAAAAGTCCGAACGAAAGAAAGCCTTGCACCCAACATCAACCCACACTATATGAGCAAGCCTTAAGAGGTATGTGCCCAAAGAGACCCACAGATGCACGACCAAATGGGGGACTGCTGTGTGGGTAGTGTCGTCACAGAACAATCGACCTGCTCGTGTGGGGTTGTTGTGGCCGCAATCATGGCTTTTTTTTTCCCCTGCCGCCAATGGACGTTGGAGAGGAAACCTCCCAGACAGAGTGGGGTGTGCGCTCTCACTCATCCGCCGCGAATACCAGCAGAGGAGCGTGCATGGCAAACCTAGCGCACGGTTTGCATCTCTGAAGGAGGAACTGGAGAACTCGAGCGGAGTGCAATTTCGGCACACACACGTTCGCCTTTTGGGCCGACAGACACGTGACGGGGTGGTGATTTCGAGAGATTTGAGACCGTGGAAGAAAAGGCACACGCACACACGTCCCTCCGAAAACCAGACCAACACGAAACGAACGCATCACACTGCCACCGGGGGCAAACCCGGTAGAGGGCGGCAATGCAACACTAGCACACATTTCTCTTTTTCTTGTCACTCACGTTCAAAGCCTCGCTGAAGAGCACAGGCACCGGCGCAGCCATGATTTTCTCCCTCTCTCCGTCACAAACGGAACGGATAAATTAGGTTCGAACACCCTTTGCCTTCCAGCGGCGCGGAAATTCACCCGCGTGCACCCCTGGTAAAAAATTGGCTAGGGATCCCCGGCGATGTGCCACCTATCTCTCGTCACTTGGCCCAGTTGCAACGCAAGGCCCGCCGTCTGCAGCGCGTCTGTTTGGTTGTTCCACACCGCACCAAAAAAACAGAGAAGCTGGAGAGAAGGGGGTTCGCAGAATCAGAACAGGGTGGGGCGGCTGAGGGAAAAAGGCGTGAAAATATAGTTGACGAGGGGGGGGGTGTTTCACACAAAGACACACATGCGATCCCTCCGCATGTCCGCTGCCTCGTGCGTGGATCCATCTTCTGCTGTTGCCCTTCCTGCCCTACCCAGAGGAACGCAAGCACGCCCAATGTACGTTGTACCCAGAAAATTTTACTCTAGCAAACATTGGTAGGGGTGGACCAGGTAGGGTGTGAAGGGAATACACCTGTTTAGCACGTGTACACAATGCATGTGGGGTCACGCTATCCATCGGATACTCCGACGGCAGCAGTACTTACATACATAGTCATGGTAATGGCGTTGACGATCCTTGGTAGGAATTCCTCTCAGCAGTCGTTTGAGGGACACAGCTCTTGCGAGCCTTGTACTAGGGGTCGCAAGAAAGCCTTACGTGTGTTGCGCACACGCTGCCACTGACTTCAAACGACGATGGTCTGACGTCTGCGAATCTTACCTTTCATTGGCGGACCGGACCAGGCCCGGTCATACAACGAAATGAAGATCCCACCACGCTCGGCGATCGTCAACGAAGAAGTGCCTGCTTTCAACGAAGGCGAATCAACCTCACCGGGAGCGGGCGCCAACGATAAGAATTCTGAGGATGTTTGTGCACGATTTTTCCCACGCAAGGTGCGCGCTGCTTGAACATTGACATCGATGCAACAGCACACGAAGTCTGAGATGATACTCTACACACCGTATACGACACAAGATAACACACACCCTGCACCAATTTTCAAAGCTCGGTCAATAAACAGCAGAGGGAGTGCGTGTGTGTGGGGGGGATGTACTCATAGTCGTGCATGCCGTAGTCGTTAGACTATTGACCTCGCATCCCTACAAAGCCGGGACGGAGCACGCCGGGTTCTCACCGGACCAGGCTCTCACATCACCAAGCGCGAAGCGCCGTGAGGTATTCGGCGAGTCGCATGAAGGGTGCGCTGCATCCTGNGAGGGTGCTTGACCATTTTAACACAACGTGGTGCGATCATCTCCCTTGCGCGGAGCGAGGCTTCTCCACCCCGCACAACATAATCTACTCGACCACCGCTATGGTTACCGCCAAAAAAAAAGCAGAGGTAAAAAAAAACAAACGGTAACTTGGTTGCCGAGTTCACGAAGTGAATCGGCTTGTTTGACAACGTCGTTGCCAAGCGACGAAAACCCAATCCCGATGGCAAACACCGGGGGGAGAGTTGGAGTGGGGGTGCCGAAAACAGCGGCGTTGAGGCCGTCTGGTCGAGAGCTCTCCGAAAACGTATCGTTTCGTCTAAGCATGTTCTTCTTCGTGGAGTTTGCTGCGAGATTTGAAAATCGGTCCAGGTAGTGTGTTATCTTGTGTCGTACACACTCGCACATGCTGTAGACTACGATTTTCTAGTCTACTTGCTGTGTTTCATGAGCGGTACACAAGTCGTTACAACTGTAATGCCCGTTTCCATGTGAAATATTGCCACCAAACTCCAGGAGATTGTACCCGGGCGCCGACTCTCTACAAGCGCCTGTACATTCACACCCTCGCAGAGTACTTGTTTATCGTGCGTCATTTTCCCGCGTCCTAAAAATCTTACTTTGTGCCTCTCCACTTCCAAATTACCCTCCTTCCAGGGAAACACCTTTCTCGGTAGAACCTATGCCTGCCTGCAAACGCCAGGCCTCATGGCCCTCAATTTCTGCTCGGCGGTGGGAATCGTGGCCGCCAACAAGGCGCTGTTTCGCCACGCGGAAGGATTGGGCTTCGCCACATCGCTAACGGGAATCCACTTCTTGGCCACAGCCTTCGGAGTGCGGGCGTGCCGGCTTTGCGACGTATACAAAGTCAAGCCTCTGAAGCAGACCCAGGTTAGGCTTCGCAAATAGTAGTCGACGGACAGACGCAGTCTTAGTAGCATGTACCTTTCTCACCCATTCACATTCTCTTCGTCGCACCTGGCAAAGGTTGTGTCGGGGAACCTGTGCTAATCGAAATTGTGCTAATTCCGTCTCCCTCTTGCCCAGGTGCTGCCGATCACGCTGGCTTTCTGTGCATTTGTAGCCTTCAACAACCTCAGCCTGCAGTCCAACGACGTTTCCTTTTACCAGCTCATGAAGATTCTCACAACGCCCGCCGTCGTCGTACTCCAGCTGGTCCTTTTCAAGGTACAGTACCGTGCAACAACCAATGTTGCCCTTGACCAAGCTACTGCATCATACCAGGGGCAACCCAACCGGCGCGTCAAGTAGAACTTTGTCGTTCGTTGTATAATTTACTGCAAAATAACATTCGAGCGTCCAAGGCGCATGCCAATGAGGCAATTGCCGAAGGTTGGGATGTTTTTTCTCCGACGAATGCCCTCACGGGTTGGAGTGTCGAGCGTTCTTCCCCAGCAAAAATGCTGTGACCCCGTGTTTCATGAGGTCGGCTTGGTGCTTCATGCTTCACAAGCTACCAAGGAGCGAGGAGGCAACACGAATGTTGGTAGGAGACAGAGCAGAAAGTGTCCCGGGGGTCAAAAAAAGACCCAGGTGTGGTTTGAGAAACAAAATTTTCGGTTGTCGGTGGAATCAGGACGAGGGGGCTGCCGACGTCGGCATAAGAAGGCTCGTCTCCATGATGCTCGTGAGTCTCGGGAGTTGCTGTCGTCGATCAAATACTCCTGATGGAGACCCTCGAAGAGATTGCTTACCTCGTATGAGACAACGACAGGAACCACCCTAGTGGGTCGACAAAGATATTTTTATTTCCAATTGCTGTTGAACTCCGCCAGAGTTTTACTTTTTGTCGGTCATTTCCGTGCTCAAGAAAGCATGCACGTAGTGGTAGGGACCAACCCTAAAGCACAGTCTTGCAGAGATGCCTAGTGTGCTCCCCTTCCAGAGCGGGTATCGACAAATATCAACACGGTGGTACCGGGAAGAAGATTAATGATACCGTTCAAAAACGTTCAACTCAACGGCAAGTCGACAGTCTGTGCACGATTTCAAGGACGCGAAATACCCACCCTCTCAACTCTCAACGGATTCCAGGGAAAATGTCGGCGCAAATTCCTTTGGGGGAAGTTTTGACAAACATGCGAGAGTACCGGAACTGGTCGATGGCGTATGGAGTTCCGAATACATGAGACCGCCAACCTCTTGATGCACATTGTCCGACGCTCTTTCCCATCCATCCAGCAAAATGCCCCTGATTTCACCCCCGTTCCCTCCACACAACGCGGTGCGGGTTCCCCTCACACTGCTACCTTGGACGTCGAGCAGGTGGTTTTGCCCTTCAAGCTGTTGGCCACTCTCGTGCCCATCTGCGGGGGGGTGGCTCTGGCGACAGCCAACGACACGGAGGTTGCCGCGGAGGGGGCGTTTTGGGCGTTGGCGGGACTGTTGGCTGCGGCCGGGTACCAGATCTTGGTCAAAAGTGCCCAGGACAACTTGCAGGTGCCCTTATTCGCGCCCCCCCTTGCGACCCCCCCCGGTGTTTGCCATCGGGGTTGGGTTTTCGTCGCTTGGCAACGACGTTGTAAAACAAGCCGCCCCCTCGGTGTCTGCCATCGGCAGTGGGTTNTGGGTTTTCGTCGCTTGGCAACGACGTTGTAAAACAAGCCGCCCCCTCGGTGTCTGCCATCGGCAGTGGGTTTTCATCGCTTGGCAAAGACGTTGTAAAACAAGCCAATTCACTTCGTGAACTCGGCAACCAGGTTACCG